AGGGAGAGAGAGGGCGGTCGAGTACCAAAACCGTTGAGAAAAAAGTGTGTTGGGGTGTTGTTTGATTGTGATTTTTTAAAATATTCGAATGTTTATTAGGAACGTAGATCTGATTATCTATGAACGTTTCAAAAATAGACAGGTAAAGCCATCGTCCTCTCAAATTTAAAAAATGAAATTTATGTACAATCCAGTAAAATATTGTCCATGTGTTAACATAAAAAGATGTAGGGAAGCAGATTGTTTCGAATGCTTCACCAACCACCAGCAGACAAAATGAAATAACACTATCATAATAATATTATTATGACGCGATAAAGACAAAAGTTAGCAATCTGTGCTGAAATGTATTCTTAGAGGCTTCCATTTACATCTGTAAAAAGAATACATTTTCAGCTATTCCAATTGTCAGTAACGTGAAAATAAAGTAAAACTTCTTCAAAAGGTATAATATAGCTAATACATACTTAAGTACTTCCCAAACATAATGTCACCTTTAAGCACAAGTCATCTGCCTTGTAAATAGTCTAATTGCGTGTCTCGAGAACAAAAGCGAACACTTTAGATAGCTTATTATACTCCCAGGAAGATAGGGAGAAGGAGAGAGAGGGGGAGAGAAAGAAAAAAAAGTAAGTAAGTAAAGTAAGTATGAAGGGAAGAAGGGAAGAGGGGAACAAACAATGAGAGAAAAAGGGATACAGACAGACAGACAGACAGACAGACAGACAGACAGACAGACAGACAGACAGACAAACAGACAGACAGACAGACAGACAACATAAAATCACGTAAGCATACATGAGTTTGGATGACGTCAGTCATTTTCTTGAAGTAAACCGTCATAATATGAGTCAGGCCAACCGCAAATGAGAGAGGCAGCGTCCAGGCAGCTGAACTGAGCACCTGTACCGAAAGGGCCGTGGTTAGACTCCAAGCGTTGACTGGGAAGGGGTCGCACACCACTCTCTGCATACTTTCCTGTGGACAAGGGAAGCGAGGATTAAAACGCTTTTCTGTTTATAAAAAAAAAGAAGATATTTCGGCGTCTGCTGTAATGGTCCGGCTCTTCGCTGTTGCTCGCAGAAGACGTGAGTTCTTTTCCCGAGTGGGGAAGTAATATCTGCTATCTTTGTCCGTATACTGGCGTGTTGCATACGACTCAGGCCTGACTGACTGACTGACCATGAGAGATGTCAAAGTGGAAGTAGCAAGAACTGTAATGTTCTCTGGTCCCAAAAGTCACGCGTGAAACAAATGAGCTAACAGAACGTTGTAAGGTATGTACTGTAGAATTTATAAAACGCTAAGTCCACTCTATACGTCCAGAAACAGTCTTTAGCCTTATCTCCAAATAATGTTATAAGATACTCTAAGATCGAATTTGCAGTACACAAGACACTTTGGCATTGCATTGAGCTTGCTGTTGAGAGGGGGCATGCGCGATACAATAACCTTTTATCAATATCGTCATTCAAGCACATTTTGTTCTCGAAGGTTCTTATTTTGTTCCTGGTTATATTCGTATCTCTCTGTACATCTTTATTTTAACTCCTAGATAATATAATGAGATATAGCAAAATTTGAGTTTCCATTCATCATGATTTGTAGGTGTTACTAGACTTTGTTTTATATATTTTGAACTAGTATTCAAACCCAACTCCTCTCAAAGGTTCTAATGTCTTTTTGGTCATTTCGTATCTGTCAGTACTTCTGACTTTCACCATTCCTTTCTTCTCCTCTCCCCCCCCCCCCTCTCTCTCTCTCTCTCTCTCTCTCTCTCTCTCTCTCTCTCTCTCTTTCTCTCTCTCTCTCAGTCTCTCTCGTTTTCCGATTCATCTCGTTTAGTGATATTGGGTAAAGAATAATATGAGAGTACTATATAACCACACACACACACGCGCACACACACACACACACACACACACACACACACACACACACACACATAAACATACAAACACACACACACAAACTCACGCGCGCAAACACTCACACACACTAGCACACATACACACACGCACGTAGTCATACACACTCAAGGGAACTCACAGAAATCGCATGGACTTTTTTCTTTTTCTTTTTTGCTAACGCTCTAATAAATTTGGGCTCAGACCTTTAGACCAATATCCGCGAAAAGGGCGATGAATAAATAGGCATTGTTGACGAAGAAGAAGAAGATGGCTATGACTGTGATGGTCAGTACTGCCCTCCTGCACCGTGGGGTCTTCATACCTAGGCTGGTCAACACAGGGTCTGACATCAGCTCCTGCCATTGCTTGTAGAATGTCCTGTTGTGTCGTGGGAGGAATTTACATACGATATCAAAGTGGTTTAGGAGAGAGGGAAGATAATGACGGTAAAGAGAGGGAGAGGGGAAAGGGGGAGGGAGAGAGAGGGGGAAGGGGAGAGGAAGGGAGAAAGAGAAGAAAAGAGAGAAACAGGGAGAGAAAGAGGGATAGACAGACTGACAGACAATAGGCAGACAGACACGAGAGAGATTTACTGAAAGAAATCGGGGAAATAATGCCAGAGACTTAAGGAGAGAGAGAGAGAGAGAGAGAGAGAGAGAGAGAGAGAGAGAGAGAGAGAGAGAGAGAGAGAGAGAGAGAGAGAGAGGGGGGGGGAGGGAAGGGAGAGAAATAGAAACAAAGTAAGATAGAACTAGATATAGTGAGAGAGAGTGAGAGCGAGAGGGAGAGTACGAGAGAGAGAGAGAGAGAGAGAGAGAGAGAGGGAGA